GGAGCACGGCGTTGCGTGGCGTGGCGGGGCGGGGCGTGGCGGGGCGGGGCGGGGCGGGGCGGGGCGCGTGGCGCGGCCCACCCGCCCGTCACAATATTAATATCAGTCTCATTTGGCCGCGGGAGCCGTCTGCCGGCCTGGCGGCCCGGCGGCGTCTGGGCGCGTCTAGCAGTGAGGCGGATCTCGATCTGAATCTGTATTTGGTTACCGCCCCGCGGCGCGGGAGCGCGCCGGCCCGTCTTGCAGTCCTAGTGAGTCCTATGGCAGACCGCTCTGTCTCTCTCGCACCTATACGGTAGTATACGGGACGCCCCGTGAGCGCGCGCGCGCGCGCAAGAGAGAGAGAGAGAGAGAGAGAGAGAGAGAGAGAGAGAGAGAGAGAGAGAGAGAGAGAGAGAGAGAGAGAGAGTGCGACGAAAACGACTCTCGGAATCAGTCTGCGGGCCAGGTGGCCGTGTCTGGACGCGTCGTCCTCCGCAAGGGAAGGGCAGGAACACCCACCGCCCAACATTGCATAAATGTGCACCTATCATCGAGGCAACTTAACATTTTCTGACACGAACAATTAGAAGTGCGTAACAAACTTGTTCTTCTCTAACATTACCCGTAAAATTGCATGATTTTTCTTCTCAGGCCGTAGTAAATACTTGAGTACCTATTCACAGACTACGCCCTTAGAAACAAGCACCTGTTTCTAAAATTTAAAGTTATGGTTTACGCATAAATTTCTTAAAGTTTCTTTGCAGTGCCGGCATTGTCTCGGAGGGCGCGCACAGAGTGGGCGTGGATGCAAGGCGCGCCCCATTTGGTATTTTGATGCCGTGCGGTCGTGCCAATAACGTGCAGCGCTATTGACAGAGACGTCCACTATCCGCAGCTGTCGTGCACGTCCACGCGCGCTGTCCGCCGGTAACGAATCCATAGTCCCGGCCTGTCTGTCTGTCCGTCCGTCCGTCCGTCCGTCTGTCTGTATGTCTGTCTGTCTGTCTGCCTGTCTGTCTAACAGACTGTCCGTTTGCCTGTGATTCAGCAACGCGGCCGTTTCCTGCGCGTCCCGCAGACTGATTCCGAGAGTCGTTTTCGTCGCTCTGTCTCTGTCGCACTCGCGGGGCGCACCGTACAGGTGCGAGAGAGACAGCGACGAAAATGACTCTCGGAATCGGTCTGTCGCTGCACACACCGGAGGGCTAACGACACGACACATGGCGGCCCCTGCAAGGCGAGGCAAGGATGAGGTACTCCACGGCCTGCTCATGGCGTGCTCCACCCACCACGCCCCACCCCGCCCCGCCCCGCCCCGCCCACAGCGTGATTGAGGGGCTGTCGCGAGCCGCGTGCGTGACGCGAAGCAACGTGAAGCGCTTCGCGAAAGCCCAGCAACTGAACAACGCCCCGGCCGATGCGATGCAGCTGCACTGCGAAATTTACAAGAGGGCCACTGCCCTCTGGAGTCCTTGTGGTTTGTGAATCCATGTTCGGTTCGAGACCTGAAAAAAATTTCCGATTGTAACGAGACAAGGCCAAGCTCGGGTGAACGGCGCCGGCCTGCTCTCTCGACGGGGTGCACTGGGTGACGGCTGAGGCCCGCCGGGCCCCGCCCCGCCGCGCCCCGCCCCGCCACGCCGCGCCACGCCGCGCCACGCCACGCCACTGCCTCCGCCTTTGCACAAGCGGCGCCCCGTTGTTCGTACGAACCCCTCCGAATCCGCGCCTTTCGCCGCAGCAACGGATGCCGGGCGGCCATCAGAGTCACATTTCATGCAGGGTATCCCGGGGCCGCCTGCGACCAAGCTGCCTGCGGGCGCACGTCGTCGCATAGCGACCAGACCCATCGACTCGCACCGCCAACGGCAGCAGCGGCCACACTGCCGTCGCCAATATTTACGAGGCGTGGGAGGTAAGGGGATACGAGGAACGGCCCGCGACAAGGAGGCCCGGGCGGCAGAGCAGATCGACACCAGACGGAGCGCCCGGCCGGCTGCCTGCATGACGGGCGGCGTGGAGGATCGATGGAGATCCCTATCGGACTATCGAACCCTGGCAACGGGCGAGCAGCGAGATAACCGTTAGAGAGGAGGAGGAGGAGGAGGATGAAGAGGAGGAGGACGAGGAGGACGAGGAGGAGGAGGAGGAGGAGGAGGAGGAGGAGGAGGAGGAGGAGGACGAGGAGGACGAGGAGGAGGAGGAGAGGGGGGAGCGAAAAAAGTGATACGGAGAGGTTGTCGTTCTGCATTTACTTGGCTCTGGCTCACAGTAAATCTTTTTGGTTCTTTTGGTGGCTCGAGAAAATAATCCTCCATTTTAAACGAAATATTTGAATCCTATTTGAATTCCTATTTTAAACTTGAAATCGGATAGCAATAGTTGTGGACCAAGAATTTTCTTTGCTAAAACTAACGGTTTTGAAAATTGTGCTCTATAGAGTTACGCGACAAAAGATTTTTTTTTGTTAGGCCTATTTGTGCGACATACGGTAGTAGCGTGGTCAGGTGACAAGCCCTCTCACCTCTCTCTCCCTGCGCCTTGCGTAAATCGTATCCCTCCCGTCTAGCTGCCGAAATAAGCACCAGCCGACACCTGAGACGCGCGGCGCCGCGGACGCAGGTGGCTGCGGTGCTCTGCAAGGGCCCTCTGCAAGGGCCATTCCGGACAGCGCTCTCTCGCTCTGTCTCTCTCGCACTCCCATGGGATGGTCCGTGAGAGACAGAGCGACGAGGCCGGCCTCGCTAGCCTCGCTACGCGCTGCAGTTGGCAGCGGCAGTGCACTACAAAGCCCTCTGGCGCTCCAACACGACAGTCCTGATGTAGAGGCATAATTAATGACTTGGAGGATAGGCCAAGCCTTTTCGCTGCGTGAGGGAGGAGCAAATCAGTCCAGTAGACCCAACAGGACGCACGGGAGAAGCCTGAACCGGGGCGACGAGACTAATCCATTAAGAAGCTGATCGCGCCAGAGTTGCCGATAGCCGATACATAATAAATGGCATACATCACTGGATTCCCTGTTACTCTATCTTTTTGAAACGGTCGCCGCACAGTGGGTCAGAAGACCGGTGGAGGCGGTCAAAGTCCCGGACGCGTTTCGAGCTCCAGTCGCTCCGAACGTGTGACCCCTTCAATGGATGAATCTCCTCACGAGGAATCCATAGGTGGGGTCACACGTTCGGTTCGAGTCCTGTTTAGCGACTCTGGAGCTCAAAACGCGTTTAGAGTTTCGACCACCGGCGCCGCGCCGGTCTAGCCCACTGTGCGCTGCCGCCTGATGCCCGAACGCCCCCCGAGTGGGGTCTTCGTCCCCACCCCGAGGGAGTCGTTTGATTTGCAGCCTTCCACGCGGCGCCTGAAGAGCGAGCTGCCGAGGGGGGGGGGGGGGGCTGCAGCCTGACCGCCTAATCGAGGCGATAACTCACGCCGCGCCGATACGCTACAAGTACGTGTATACGCGGCGCCGACCGCCCGATTTCTCATCACCCATTTTCCACGCTTGATCTACGGGGCGCTACAAATAGCGCACCGCCACCGTAATATTTAAACTCGCAAAACTCAGACATTTTTTTTAAAGAAAAAAACAAGAATTGAGAACTGAGAATTAATTTTTTTTAAGCGAGTCTTTCAGAAATTAAATAAGAATTTTTTTCTTGTTGCCATATTTGTTTTTTGCGAGTGCCGCCTTGACGGGGATTCGAACCGCGGACTGGCGAGGACGCCCCCAGCGAGTCGCTAATGAAGCAGAGGCAGTTGGCGCACGCGCCTCGCATAGCGCGAGGTTCAAGGCATTTACTACTTTTTTTTCAGTTTTTATTTGAGGATGTCGGAGTCGCCGGCAAGGATGTTCCTTTCGCTCTTCGCGCGGCGCGTCCGAAACCCGAGAACCTCGCGAATAGTTGGAGACTTGTTGCATAAACCTCGCACGCCGTCGCCGTTTGCACTGCACTGTGAAAATTTGAGTCGTCTCTTGATGACAATTTCAAGGCTTTTTCCGTACAAGGATGTCATCAAACCAATTGATGACATGGTTTTCATACCCATGCAACAGGAGCTTACGTATACTCAAAATACTTTGTCATAACAAATTGCTTTACTTTGTAATGCCTGAAATAGTTTGTAAGGTTTTCTCAGTGTACGAAACGTAGATCAAAACACATTGGTGCAGGATAAATGAGCGAAACAAACGGAATATGCTGCAAAAAGCTGTGTGCATTTTCTGATGACAAAGCAAGAAAAAGAAGAAGAAAAAGATGTTAATTATTGTCGAGCTCTCGAAAAGGATCGTGACTGAACTCGCCCCCGCCCTAAAAACGTCAGGCGGCTTTGATGTACGCTCCGCAGCTCCGGGGCGCCCCGGACGCCAGCACGCACTCCCGGTGCAGCAAGTGGCGGTGCACGCATGACGGGCCATTCCGGGCTGTTTTTTCTGCAGACTGATTCCGAGAGTCGTTCTCGTCGCCCTGTCTCTCTCGCACTCATGGAGTGTGCCGTATGGGTGCGAGAGAGACAGAGCGACGAAAACACTCTCGGGGGGATGGGTCCCTGCCTGTGCCTGCGAGGCGCCGGGCCCCCATCTCGACGGCCGCACCCCGGGGCCCCCCATCACGCCACGGGGCGCCGCCGCCACGCCTCGCAGAGTGCACGCCGGGCGAGAACACGCCACAACAACGCTCTTGGGGGTGCTGCGTGGCATACCAATCGAAAAATCTACATCACAGCAGTTTCAACCCATATGATCATCCCCCTGGCGTCAAACCTTCGACAGCCGCCGAACCAAACAATTGACCCCAGAGGATCCGCTTGAAATTTCTGATGGCGATTCACTAAGAAGCCAAACCAAAGTGCAACAGAACCCATTCAAAAATTAGACAATCAGTCGTCACAGAGCTCTCTAAACGGGTCGTACGATGAAAACCATTTTCTCTCTAATACGAATTAATCCGCCAGTTGGACTGAGGGCGTGACCATGACGCGGCCGAAACAGCCGCACCCGTTTCGCCCAGTGTACTCACCACCGGCAGGCTGCGGCACTTGTCGGGGCGGGCCCAGTGTCGTTGTTTTCGCAGTGGCTGATCCATGACTGCAGCACCAACAACAACAGGAGGAGGAGAGCAGGAGAAGCAGCAACAACAACACAGCACTGGCGGCGTCCACTAGTCTCCACTGCACTGCACTAATCCGGGCGGCGGCACTCCACTGCCGTCGATTTCCGCGAGGGACTTCCCCGGACTCGGGACTCGACGGCGACGAGGACGACGGCGGCGGAGACGACGCGCTCGGCGGCGGGCAGCGCGGTGCTCGCGGCTCGCTGGCGTGTTCGCGTGTGCGTCCGCGGCGCCGGCAGGGCCGGGGCAGGGCCGGCAGCAGCAGGGCCCGTCCAGCCCTGCGCCAGGGGCGGGCGGAGGGAGGGGAAAGGGGGGGAGGCGCTGACCACGGGCACGTGCTGGCCGCCGCGAAGCACTCGCCGCCGCCGGGATCACCGTTAAACTGCACCGCGGCGCGGCGCGGCGCTGCAGACGCCGGGGTGGCCGTCGTGGTGGAGGGGACGGGTCGGTACGGAACGGAACGGAACACGCTCTACTGTGCTTCCACCTTCCACCGCGCGGCGCCGCACGCCGCACTCCCACCCGCCGCGCCACGCCCCACCCCCCTCCGCCCCACCCCCCTCGCGGTCCTGCTCCTTCTCTCACCTGCCTCCCTCCCTTCACCGGCGCCTGTCTGTCTTTCTGCCCGCCCGCCTGCCGGCCGGCTTGCCTGTGACAGGGAAGGCCCGCGCTGCCCGCCCTTGGCCGTGGGCCTAAGTCGGCCGATCTTCGCGGCGCTCGCCCTGCGCTGCTTGCGCGCGCCGCCTGTTGCGTCACGCCCGTTCATCGCGGCGCGCCATCTCCGCTCATTTTTCGAGTCGCCAGGATGGTCCTCTTGATGGCGTCCTCAGAGATCCGTAGCGCCGCTCCGTATTTCAGTCTGCCCGTGACGTTTTCGCATCACCACCGCAACAACAACAACAACAACAACAACAACAACACGGACGGATAGCTGGGCTTGCCTACCTACAGACCGATTCCGAACATCGCTATCTCTGTCTCTTTCGCACTCACACGGTGTTCCGTGTGCGTGCGAGCGAGACAGAGGGACGAAACGCTGCGACGGGCAGGGCCCCTTGCAGGGTGGGCTGTCCCGTCGAACAGCGCTGTGCGGCGGGCTTGCCTACCTGCACGGCGGACAGGGCCCCTTGCAGGGTAGGCTGTCCCGTCGAAAACCGCTGTGCGGCGGGACAGTCTACCCTGCACGGGGCTCAGTATAGAAGTTGCCCCTCAGACTCCAGTAAACTGTCCTCTTTTACGGGACTCAGCCGCAGGCCCAGCACAGGGACTGTCCGACAGTGTGCCCTGCGCCTGACTGGCGGCCCTTCGGCTCGCTCCCGCGTGCAGGTCTCCGGCTGCAGACTGATTCCGAGAGTCGTTTTCGTCGCTCCGTCTCTCTCTCTCTCTCTCTCTCTCTCTCTCTCTCTCTCTCTCTCTCTCTCTCTCTCTCTCTCTCTCTCTCTCTCTCTCTCTCTCACCTAAAAGGGCCGCCCCCTGAGTGCTAGAGAGAGACAGAGCGACGAAAACGCCTCTCGGAGTCGGTCTGCACCTGGTGTAGCATTATCCCTGGGAGCGTTGGGCGGCCGGCCCGGCCCGTCCGGCGCGTGTGTTGTGTCCCATTCTGCCGCTCAGCGTTCTGACAGCTTGATATGCCCCGCGGCGCAGACCCCGTCGGCCCTCGCCCTCGCTCGTCCTAGCCGAGCGCTACAGCACAGCCGTTTCGTCGCTCTGTCTCCCTCGCTCTCGCGGCTCACTCCGTCAGCGTGCGAGAGAGTCAGACGGTCGCTGTGGCAGTCACGGTCCATACGCCTTGCGTAAACACGGTCGGTGCTCATCGTGTCTTCGCAGGCTTCGCAGTGCAGGCGCGGCGGGTGCTTCGAGTGGCGTGGCGCGGCGTGGCGTGGCGTGCCGTCCAGAGCGTCATTGTGACGCGTGAGGCCCGAATTCGGTTTGGACTGATCGGCGTGTCGACAGGCGCGCATCACGGCCGTGTTCAGCGACGTGGCGATGACAACGCGCACAAGGTGACAGCGCCGGTGGCGAAAATGCGAACGCGCGCGGTTCACAGTGGGCCAGGAGGAGACCGGCACCGGCGGCAAAAAAAACTCGACACGCGTTTTGAGCTCCAGAGTCGCTAAACAGGACTCGAACCGAGCGTGTGACCCCACCAATGGATTCCTCGTTCGGAGAGCAATCCATTGGTGGGGTCACACGTTCGGTTTGAGTCTTATTTAGGGACTCTGGAGCTCAAAACGCGTCCGGGATTTTGACCGCCTCCACCGATGTTCTGGCCTACCGTGGGGCTGCGTGGCCTTGCAGTGCTGGCGGTGCGCGGGTTCGAATCCCTCCCCCAGGTGTCCACACTTTTTTCTCTCTCGCCCGTGGACGCTTATCGGCGCGTTCCCACACCGCACGCCTGGCCATAACTCCGCGGCGCGGGATTTAAATAGCGCCCCTGCGACACGCAGCCACCTCACTCACTCCTCGCCACTCATGCGCGGCCGGCCGCCTCCCCGGAGGGCCTCCAGCAGACTGAGAGTCGTTTTCGTCGCGCTGTCTCTCTCACGCCCGTACGCGACGCCCCATGGGTGCGAGAGAGACAGAGCGACGAGGGTGACTCTCGGCGTCAGTCTGCTGAGGCGCTGGAAAATAGGTTAAGCGGGCCCCTTTCCGACGGCTGGACGGGCTGGAACGCGTCCAAGACGATTCCGATCGAATTGTGAACGATACCCCGGCGCCCCTCCACCAGCACCGCGCGTCGTCCGTGGGACCTATTTTGCCCAGCGTGCGACGACAGTGGCCTGCACTGCAAAACGTTAACACCGTGTCATGAAAATGAAGCACGAAACGAAGGACGTCGATGACGAATGCCGAACTACCGCTCTGCAAATCCATTGGTAACGTTTTCCTTGCCACTCCGGTGGCAAAAACCTGTGCTGCTAAATTGGTGAAAAAATGTGAAATATTTCTGGGCGTTCTCGTTAATTGAGAGCCACCTTGCGAAACTTGGTCGGGCCTCGCGCTTGCAGTGCTCCCGCTGTGCGCTGCGTTCCGATCGGGACCGGTGCGCCCCAAGATGGCCTATCAGCGCCGAGCATGACTTTTCTCGCGGGCCGCAGATTAGCGAACACAACAACGCCGCTGCACTGCGAGGCACTTCACACGCGGTACTACTGCACTGTAAGGCACAGTGGGCCAGAAGACCGGTGGAGGCGGCCGGAACTCGAGACGCGTTTTGAGCTCCAGAGTCGCTAAATGGGACTCGAACCGAACGTGTGACCCCACCAATGGATTCCTCCTTCGGAGAGCAATCCATTGGCGGGGTCACACGTTCAGTTCGAGTCCCGTTTAGCGACTCTGGAGCTCAAAACGCGTCCGAGATATTGACCGCCTCCACCGGTCTTCTGGCCCACTGTGCGAGGCACTGCAAGGCACCACACTGCACGTATCTCGAATGAATACGACTCACGACGCGCCGTGTCTCGTTATACACCGCGCAATAACAGCACCGTTCAGTTAGTTCGTTACCTGCCTCCGTTTCGCTAAACCAACGTCCAGTGGCTGGTGGACCCCGGGGCACCTGGCGTTTGGGACCGCAAAGTAGCACTTTCTGCCTACTAACAGGGGCAAAGTATGGCTCTTTGTCCAACTTTCAGGTGACTTTCGAGGTTCTCCGCCATCCCCCTCTCCCCCCACCTTGTCTGCTAATGTCTCCAACTTGTTTCTGCTAGCAGGGACGTAGGGTGGGCGACGGCCCACGGCCAAGGCTTCGCCCCAGTCGCCTCGCTCTGCGCCGCTTTGCGCGCGGAGCCGAGAAGCCGCGAAGCCCGCCCTTGAACTTCCCTCATCCCGCTCAGCTCAGAGGTCACTTTTTGTCTATCCCCTGTTGTCCTGTTCCGAATACCTGCCGAATACCTGCCGCCCATTCCAACCCGCCGTCGCTCTGTCTCTCTCGCACTCACGGGGTCGGCCCCGTGAGTGCGAGATGCGAGAGAGACAGAGCGACGGCGGGTTGGAATGGGCGACCCCATCGCGGACGGGGTGGCCGTGCGTCGCTCATCCATCTCATCGGCGGCTCTAGCGGCTGTCTCGCTCGCACCTTTGCTTGGACGCCACACGAGTGTGAGAGAGACAGAGCGACGAAAACGACGAGGCATGGCGCAGGCCCCCGAAGTGGCAGGACAAGGGCGCGGCGAGGCATTCGATTCATCGAACCCCATTCGATAGTCTCGAACGCGCGTGATCGACCTCCGACTCTTGCGCGCGGATTTGCTCTGCAGCTGCTCCTATTCGGGATGGAAATGACAGGCCTCGGCCCCGAGAGAGAGGGAGAGAGAGAGAGAGAGAGAGAGAGAGAGAGAGAGAGAGAGAGAGAGAGAGAGAGAGAGAGAGAGAGAGAGAGAGAGAGAGAGAGCGCGCGATGGCAGCCTGATGAGGTCGCCGTCGTTGCCGCGCTGGCCTTCCCCGCCTTCCCGCGCCTTAATTTCGCCAATCGGCAATCTCTCTCTCTCTCTCTCTCTCTCTCTCTCTCTCTCTCTCTCTCTCTCTCTCTCTCTCTCTCTCTCTCTCTCTCTCCTTGCGGGTGTGCGAGAGAGAGAGAGAGAGACGATGACCGCTAAGGAACGGAAATGCCGCGCCACGTGCTGAGTGGGCGGAGCGCGCTCTCTGTTTTTATTTGGCGCCAACGAACGGCACGGAAAACACACGCTCCACACTCAGACGGACTGGCAGGCAGGTCTATCAGGACGAGCCACGCCCGCATAGCACGCATAGCGATGCACCTAGCGGTGTCGGGCATCTCAAGATAGGACAGCAAAAAAAATACAAACGAAAAAAAAAACTGGCGAACTTGGGAAAATCTAAGGTTGATTCCAGAGTTCCATGAATTTTGTTCAGGTACGTGGCCTAACTTTTAGTTAACTGTCTCGTCATTGCGTTTGCTCGCGTCCCGTGGCAGTTTCATTGAAAAATACTTCGAAAAGTCACCATTTTTTTCCCAAATCCGGTTCTGGTAGAAGCAAAATTTGTTAAAAATCCCAAGTTTGCTGCACCTTGTCCTCAGTCGCTCCGTCACGATCCAGACCGCCTGGACCGGCAGAGACGGGTTTCCGGCTCTCTCAGGAGGTAGGACCTGGGCGCGGTCTGCCGGTGGGAAAGGGCGCTCTGTCTCTCTCGCACCCCCTGCGGGGCGTGCCATGTGCGCGAGAGAGACA